ACCGACGTCAAACCTATTTTGCATGAGACAAAAAAACAACAACAACAATTTAAATAAATAAAATCACTTGAAAAATTCAAATAAATTTAATTAATCGATAAACGAAGAAGGAGAAGAAGAAGAAGAAGAAGAAGAAAAAAAACACAAAATATAATTTGAGCGCAGCGATTCCGACGGGTATTGCATATCAGGTGGCTTAATTTGATGACTGTTTTGACACTCATTTACATACACACACACACACAAATCAATTAGAATGAAATGTTTCATTGATGAATCTATTAGGTATTGTGCGTTCTTTTTTTCATGGTGCTCAGAATCAGTGCATCGCCATACGGCCAATACCCGATATATATATATATACATTGTCCAACGGACGCCGCCCGTACCAAATTATTCATAGCAAAATGAGTGAAAATAAGTTAGAAAATGGTAGTAATTTCAAGAAATGAATGAAACGACGATGAATTAAACAACAACACACAACAGACACACACAAAAAATCTAAATAAAAATCTATGAGTATATATATATTTGAAGTACATATAATACTTATGTGGTAAATACATTGAATTGAATTAAATGAAAATTACAATTTGAAGTAAACAACAAGAACAACAAAAATGAAATGGAAAAAAGTATAAGTTAAGGAAAACAAATTACATAAAATATTATATTTCTTACTAAGGACTTCATACAAAATGAAAAACAGATGAAAAGAATCACTAATGTGTGGATGTCACGCGCAAAACGCAAGCACACCCAAACAGAAAAAAAAAATTGAAATCAATCGATATACACGTTTAAAGGTGAAAATTGAATAAAGAAATCATTGAAAAAAATATACAGATTTTTTGTTTTATTTTCTTTTTTTTCCCATTTTCTTAGTTTGTAGTGGCTGCGAAATGGCCAACGAAGGATTTCCATTCTTCGTTCAGATTAAAAGTGAAGTATCCAAAAAAAAAAGTAATGATAAATTTAGAATCTCCACAATTCTCTCATTCTCGCATGTATCGTAAATTCTTTTCTTGAAACATCAAGGCTTAGTCCATTCTTCAAGCCTTGCTCATCGGTTAAAGAAACTAAGTATCATGTTGCTGTGTGTTCTTGGACAGTCGAAACGAAAGTGACAGTTTTATCGATGTTTCGTTGGATTGAATGAGGTAAGTAAGAAAAACAGAATTAGTTGGTAAGATGATGGTAAATCACATGTCTCTCTTTCTCTCTATCTCTGCCTTCTGCTTGCTGGTTTTGTCGTAATTCGCTTGGGTCAGTCTTTACTGGATACTAGACAGACAGAGAGAGAGAGAGAGAGAGATAGCGAGCATTGATTTGGCGTTGTTCGCCTCTCAATTTGATCGATGCGAATGGAATTCGTAGGAGTTGAAAAATGCTTTTCGCCGCACCGATGAGATTTATTTGGGCTCAGTCCGATTGTTTCGTTCAAATAATTACAACACGCTGGAGAATATAGACAAGAGTAATGGATTGCGTGGCAAATCGGAACATAGGCACATGTGCGTAACAGCGTACACTACACACCAAATCATCGTATACATGCTTCGATTATATTAAGCACAAGCCCAACGCACCATTTGTACATATCAGTTGAGTGTCTCACACTCAAGGCTTTTTGCGGCATGATACGGATAATAGTGTTGTTTCGTTTAATTAATTTTTGAATCATTTCATTCTCTTAGTGGGCTCTTCCTTCTCATCCGTGTTAGCGATGTTAATGCTGACATCTATTTTAGCCATCTCTTATACATGATATTCACACTGTGATGATGATGCTGATGCTGATGCTGATGCCGCTGCTGCTGCTGCTGCTGCTTTTATGTATGTTCACTTTTTTGGTGGATGAGTGGGTGGTTGGTTCGCCAAGCGCGACCATTTCGGAATGTGTGTGGTGGTGTGGAAACCCGCAATCGAAACTTAAGGATCAATTCCTGTTAAGCGTTAAACGCAATCATTGCTTTATTTAGTTTTCCATGCATACGACGTTTTTCAAACGATTCGGCATTTGTTTGTATGGGAGAGAGAGTGAGAGAGAAAGAGAGAGAGAGATTGGAATGGCGACGGAATCATTTTCGCTTAATTTTTGGGTTAATCTTGCAGTGCACAACCATAAAAAAGAAGCAACCAAGCACCGATAGAAGTAAATGTCAGCAAATTAAATGAGGCATGCCGACAACGACAGCACCACAGATAAAAGGGAGATGGAGGGAGGTAGAGAGGGAGAACAAAAAAATAGAGAAAAGGAATGAATACGCATAGATGCACTAAAAACAGTCATTATAAGAATAGCAAAATGTAAATATATGCGAGAGCATCGAACAAATCCAAGTGAATTTAGGCATGAAGATGCGAGAGAGAGACGCACACACACACAAACAGATAGAAAGTTGAAACACTCTCAACATACAAGAAATGACAACAAACACATGCGGCGTCCACATACAGAGCCCGTGAATTAACTGTTTGTGCTTTTGTGTGCTGGAATATGCGGCTCCATCGCACCCTGTCTCTGGTGAAGTTTGTACTGCGTATGCATAATCATTGTGAGTGGCCTATCAAAAGCGATGTCGAGCGGAGCATTAATCGCACAATTCGGATTAAATTTTCTCAAATGGAGATGAGAACAAACATCGCCTGGATCCGGGGCGATATAGACTCTGTCTCTATGCCCGCGTGCAATTGCGTGCGCGTAAATGCGGAATATGAGGAATATTTAATGGAGTTAGGGCCAGGCTAACTCCAGACAAAATGTCAAAGAAATTTTTTAAGTATCCAAATAAAATGAAATTAACACAGAGTAGGCGCTCGCGCGCTCGTAGCTCTCTCTCTCTCTCTCTCTCTCTCTCTCTGTAAAGCCCTGTATAGTTTGGGAAAAGTGGCTTCAACGGCAGAATTTACTGCACCACACCGAACTGTAAACTCTGTAAAAAGCCATAAAGTTGTAGGGAGTCGAGTCGTGTACGTTCGAAGCGAAAGAGGATATCTATGCGAAAACTATGGATTAAATTTAAATCCGTTGATCTGTTTAAGTGAACACCAGCACATCTATTTCTCTTTTCTTTTTTTTTAAACTTTTAGCAGTTGACGTATATTTTATTTTTCGACAATGTCACACGTAAATCTAAACCACATTCCAAAAGAGCAAGAGCATAGATGGATTTCGTAGAGTGGGTGCGAGGGGGTGCGAGCGAGTGCTCCGTTGCCTTTGTAAAGAGAGCGAGAGAGTGCGTGTATTTGATGGTGTCCGTTAGCTTATAATGCACAAAAGCACCAGCCGTTCAGCTTTTTATAGCTGACACTCATTTCCCATTCTTTCTCTCCCTCTCTCTCTCTCGGTATTCATCGAGTCTTTTATATTGTTTTCTCGTCTCTGTTTCCATCTCCCTCTCTATCTCCGCTACGCTTGGTCTCTTTGTTTTTGCTGGTGAGAGACGTTTTTCATCGTGAAAAGCGAATCGCATGTGAATTATCTCATGTCGTCGGCAATGCATAGCTATGTCTAGATGATTGGTAACAAACACAGAGCACATAAATCTCAAATGTTGCGTGTATTTTCTTCTAATACCCGGCAACAATCAAACAATCAAGCCTGATTCGAAAGTAAACCATACAAAAAGTAGAAAAGACAATGGAAAAAAAATCAAATGAAAAAGGAATCAAAGACAAGAAATACCATTGAGATGATTTGGCAGCAGCAATTGAGAAAAAAAAGCCTCGAAACAAATGACTACGAAGACAATGATGATGACGATGGCGTTGTAATTCTATTGACGAATCTAATCAAAACTGAATCAGCAATAATTTCCCCTCGTCTTTTCTCTCTTTCTTTCGTTTTTTTCTCGCTTTTTATTTTCGAATGCCTGTCTGTTATTACTTTATCTAAGTGCTCGTTTCCATTCTCATTTCGGTGCGTTTCGGAAATGTGTGAGCGGCGCGTACACAGCTTGCTCGTCTGGCATACAGGCCATTACTTCACGCACGCACACACACACATATACAAAGCACCAGCGAAAAATGTTACGTGACCTAACATATTTATTACAAATAGACATGCCGTTGCAATGCCATAAGGCCAAATGCTATTTTCTTAACGTTTCAATCAATAATTACTGTCATTATTACGATCAATAATTTAAATGGTTTCGGTTTGCGGGCGAAAGAGCAGGCACGCCAGAATGATTCAAAGGAGAACGCGAAAGAGAAGTAGATGAAGAGAAAGAGCTTTTATTCATTCTTGAAGTCACATCAAAATTCCGTTGATTTCAAGCCATTTCCCTCAATACATTACATGTTAATTCGCTTTCAATTTGAAGACTCCTCCAACTTGAATACCAAATCAAGACCGAAAGAGATAAAGAGACGACGAAATCGAGACCTTTTTCCACCGGAGCGAATCGTCTTGTAAATTTCAACCACCGAAGATGCGCCCATTCTTTCCACCGCAATCAAAGTACATATCCGTCACAAACAAAAATAGTTTTTTATTCAAAAAGAAATAAATATGACTTGGATGACGACAGTTTGTTTCTTCCGACCACGACGACGACGAAAAAAAGAGAGCAGAAAACTTTCAACTAATTCCATTGAAACCAATTACGTTCCACACGATAAAAATAATTTGATTTAGGTAAAACTCTTTCAAGAATATGAAAAACAAAATCCGTAAAGAAAAGTTCTCAAATAACATATCATAATCAAAAATTTTGGATTAACGTTTTTTTTTTCTTCTTTGAAGTTTACTTGCGTAGAAATCAATTCACCTCTTTGCATGACGAACCAAATGGAAGTTATTCAAGTAAAGCCATTCGAATGACGATGGTTTTATTTGCATATTCATCTGTGCCGATTTTTTTTCCAGGTCAGCGAAAATGCATCATGATATTGGGGCTCAGTGATAAAGACAAATGAAATTGTTCTTTACCACCTCTTCATTTTCATTAACCGAAAAAAAATCAAAATGATTAAAATGGAAATGTACACGAACAACGTTGGATTTTTATTTTTATTTTCTTCGTGAATGTTTGAAACACCACGAATTACACAGACTCCTTCCATTATTATTGTTTCAGACTCATAATTGTTTGTCTTTTCTTTTATGGTACCAGGTTCAGAATTGTGACATGATAAATAAGCTTTGCTTCTTTGAAACGTCTACTTCTTGTTGTTGTTCGTCTTTCCTTCTTTTTCGTGTTTTCTTTTATTATTTGATTCAATTATTTCCAAACACTGCAATAGATGATGACAAGCCCATGTGAGCTTGCCTCAAGCACCGCAAATGGTGACATCAGAAGTAGAATTAACACACAATTATCTACGTTATTTGTCTTGGAGAGCATTTTTCATACTGGGATTCCGTTTACAGTTGAATAACCGCAGACTTAGTACAACGCATAGTGCAATTGATATTGCGCATATGTAAGCTACCATCAATTTATTATTGTTGATGAATTGAAATATGCTGTTGAAAAAGTTGCTTGTCTGCCCTTCATCTTCCTCTTTCTCGTCCTCATCTAGTTCCTCATCTTGCACTAGCCTGAAAATAAAATGAGCGCAATAATGCGATGTATTGAATGGTTCGATTTTCATGCATACTTCACCTCTCATACGATAACCATGAGCTTAGAAGTGTGTCCGTTTCATCGATTTTATTGCTTTCTGTCCAGTCATTATTTTCAAGTCGTTGCTGCAGTTCATCGTATATTTCATTTGAAATTTGCAAATGTATGCTTTTCAATTGTTTACTACCGTTCACCAATTTAAATATAGTTTCAGTCTCGACATCCAAATCGAAAGTTGCATTCAATTCCCTCAAATGTGGTAGTTGTCCAATGAGGCTTTCCATATGATGTGCATTCAATGTGCCCCTTGATAAATACAATTTTTGCAATTTTCGCAAATTTACCGTAATATAGTTGACCCATTCGGACATATCGGAAAAGGAATGCAATTCAAATTCCTTGAGCTGATTGAATGACATAAAATTCAATGCTTGATTCGATATGGCAATCACATTTAGAATTTCCACATTTTTCAATTGGATTTGTTCATTTTCTTCCCACGCGGAATAATTTTCGCCGTAGGACAATTCCAGTTTGAGTTTTTTCACATTTGGTAAATAATCTCTGACCACATTTAACATCGGCACTATTGGATGCTGTAGCATTAATACTCGAATTTGTGAATTCATTTTCAAGAAATTACTTAGATTGAATAAAGTAATAAAATCTATGGAATGTGATGGATGTTTTGAGATTTCAACATGTTCCAAGTATGGCATCGTACGATTTATACTGTTCGCATCATATACACCATCTATACTTAGTTCTAAAACACGTAGACTGGGAAATAGTTCATCCAATGTTAAATGTTCATTTTCCAATTTTTCAAACCATCCAATCAGAGACACTTTTTCAATCCGTTGAAATGGCTTTTGCATGGCACTCAATTCATTCGCTTCGACATTAATCATGGCAAATTCGATTAAATACTTTGAACACAACTCGTTCACTTCCATACCAACACTGTACCGTTGATCCGGACCGATTTGCTTGTAATCGATTCGCAAAGTTTGGATTTTGTGGCAAAATGACTTTAACACTTTTGACATCGTTGCAAAACTACGAATTTTAATATCATCATCGAATTCACGTATCGATTTTTCGGCTTCATTTGAAAATGGGCCTTCGATCAAAATGGTTTTCGCGCCAAAACGGCGGCCGAACACGTCACCAGCATTTCGAAAACATTTTCGACTTTTTTGCGCTGTCTCAGCTAAATCTGATAAGCTTAGGCAATTTAGAGCAGGCTTTGTACAATCCTACAGAAAAACACACACACATACACATAAATACCAAAATAAAACCATATTTTTAGCCGAGGAAAAAAAATAATTGTATACGAAACAAAAAAAAGGTAAAACAAAAAATTCAATTCAAAAGAGAGAACAATGAATGCACTCAAAGTTTCTTTCATACAAAAAGTTCACCTACATTTTTGATGTCACTTGAATGGATTTGCACATTACTTATTGATGTAGCAGCAAAACAAAAGCTCAAGTTCATTAAAATTGCAATTGAAAACTTCATTATTCGTTCTGGTTGTACGCATTCATGTGCGTTTTTCAACAAATCACGACTGAATCCGTTCGTAGAACTGAACAAAGTCTTGGCAAGCAATCTTATCTGTATCAACGGTGTTGCGATCACAATTCTATAATCAGTTGCCATGTCCTAAATAAGATATGTCATCGTGATTGATGTTGTATGTACAACATCCATTACGATACGGGAGAGAGAGAACGGGGGAGAGGGAGGAAGACATGACTGGTATACGATTCGCACAACATGTGAATGAGACCGATAAATCGAAGTACACCATGAAGATTAGATAGAAAATGAAGACGTAAAAACCGATTAATTTTGCGATGCTTCGCATTTAATTCGATTTGATTAAATTTAATTCAATTTGCTAGTTGGATCATGTATAAACAACATGCTCTCGATAATATGAAACTTGAAAGTTGTCTTTAGCTGTTTGAATGTTAATTTGGTAATGAAGAGTAATCTCAATGAAATTGAGACAGTGTTTCGCTTTGAGTTGAAAATCATTTGAAAATTCGCCCATCTCAAATCTCTCTCATGAAATCTCTTCGTATCCCATTAGAAGATGGTTTGACGCGTCGCATAAAAAGCATGCTTAGATTGTGTGTACAATCTAAATGGTGATAAAGTAATGAGACAGAGAGCAACACTAAAATCGGCATCTGAAAGATGCAAAAGATGTAAAGCACATCTAAAGCATCAATGAATATGATTAGAACAAATAACTGAGCGAAAAGTGAAACAAAAAACAGAACAAGGCAAACAAACAAGAAGGAGGCAAGAAAAAAACGAAGACAGCTTTTGAAGTGGTATTTTAGCGTTAGCAAATAAATGGAAAATAACAGTGGAATAAAGTAGAAGTTGTTTAGTTATCTTCTTTAGTTCCTTAGAAATGGAGCGCGTGCACAAAAGAGATCTCAAACATGCTGAATGCTGTGCCGAAACAGTTTACTTTAAATATTATCGCTTGTTTGTTGCTTTCGTTGCCATTGTTGTCGTTGTGAGTTTGAGCGTGAGCGTGGGCATGCACGCGAGCCCTCTTTGTGTGTATGTGCTTCGTTCGGTTGGGAGAATGAAAATCCAAATCTACAGCACAAGTCAACCACATGCTTTATACCACAAAATATAGCATTTTCGCATAGAAATAGCGGCGTCATAGCATTAAAAAAGAATTTGTGCACCCTGAGAAAAAAAGATGAATGAAACAAAGAGAAAAATTGGGGAGAAAGAAAAAAGCCGAAAAACAAATTGAAGACGACCGACTAGAAGAGCGAGCGCGCGCACGCACGCACGCTTATTCAGAGATACGGTGCACAGTCGAAAAATGCGAAACCGACAGAGAGACACAGCGAGTGCGAGATAGCTTCAAAGAGAATATGCGATAAACAATGAGATATTGTTAAGATAACAAACAAACAAACAATAAAGAAAAAGGAAAAGTGCCACGACACTCTCGGCGCTAACAAACCGAAATAAAAACCACCAAAAAATCATATCACAATGTAATGCCTTTTGTTCGGTGCCGCTTTTTTGGGGCGGTTGGCGAAAATGGGCAATATTATCATAGAGATTACGGGCGTGTGTACCACACACAGCATACAACAGACACACATATATACATACACTTTCGACTGTGGCATTGGCACACGCGGAACAAGCGCGCTAACACGAACACATCTATGGCAGATAAAATCAAATTCTCATAAAAAAAAATTGTTTCAACTCCCGCATTGCTCTCTCTCTCTTTCACTCACTCGCTTTTGATGGGTTTTTGGTTGCTGTTGTTGCTTGTGCCTTTTGTATTCCGTCAAATACGCAAACAATTCCATGGCTGCTTCGCGCTTTAATGTGGCTACTTTTATTTCGTTTGTGATCTCTTTCGATGGTTACACGCGCTTTTCAAGGCAAAAGCTCTCTCAATCACTTGAAATGGCTGTCGGTTTTAACGGGCACGAGCCTGAATTGTTTGTATTCGTCGTCAATCATCGAATATCATCCATAAACATACAATTATTGGCTTAGAATAATATGACCCAAAACACAAAGCCAGGCCAAAATCACACGAAACAAATCACATTTTCGCAATTTTCGTATTTTGGATTACATGCAATCCAAATGACCGTGTTATGTTTATTACCCGATCACAGCCAATTGATCCTTCGAAACGCGTTGCCGCTCCCGCACCCGTACGGCTACGGAAGGAAATCATTCGACAATGTCTCAATTTCGCCATTCGGAGAGTGGAGAAATGGCATGAAAATTAATTTTCAAGTAGAATCGATCGCACCCAAAGGAGAGATGTTTGCCGATGAAAAAAAATATGAGCGAATAACGGAAGTGTGATAAAACACCCAATAATTTTGTCAAAATTTATTTTCGTTTATCTCACAATTTGGAATTGCAGCATCATCATGTCATCATTGTTCAACCGTTCTATAAATTCTTTCAAACTGAAATACACGAGCAAACAGTAGATAAAACGTGGAATAAACGCATAATTCATACATCACACACACACACATACACACTAGTATATACACAAAACTACCCCAAAAGAGAAACGAACACGCTGAAAGCGAAAAAAAGGGGGAACAAAAATAGAAAACCCGACGATCCTTGTGGATATAAGAGACAGAAATGCAAAGGTGAGGAAGCGACGGAGGGTGAACAGAACGAAAAAGGGACACAAGTGTTGAGACCAAATATCGCGCGATGGAATCATATTTCAACGCATGGAATAATGCGAATAGCATGTGACCTTTGCATTCTTGGTACAAAGTTCGGGTTGCCACGAAAGTTTTACACTTGTACTCCCCCACTATAGCTGCAGGTTGTTAGTACGTCGGCCTGCTGCTGCTGTTGCTGCACCCTTCGCATTCACCAAGAAACGAACTCATTTCCAACTTGAGCACGGGGCAACACTTTTCTTCAAATTCGTTCACTATATAGTTCCGTATTGGTGCCGATCTATTCCACATGTACAAGTCCTTTGGGTACGTCGAAAGTTGTTGCAATGTGGTTGTAACTATATTTCTGCTTGATATGATTCAATATAAGCGAGTGAGTGTGCTGGTAGCATCTCAACAAATCGCACATGGGCACAACGCTGTTTGAATAAAATAGCGCACTTATCTTGAAATTGAACTCGAATTTTTTTTTCTCGACAAAAATCTCTTTTCAAATTGCAAACAATGTTAATGCGATTTGTAAGAAACGCGATTTTATTTTCGTACCAAATTTTGAGTGTCATCTTCCAGAAAAATTGAAGGAATGTCGTCCTCAAAATCAAAAGAGTCATTGACCTCCCAAACGGCGCTCGAATTGATGTTGACTATTTTCGTGCATTCTTCGAAAATGTTTGAGACAATCGCAACAATCCCATTCGGTGATTTCACCGTTTGGTTTCATTCAAAATTGTTTAGTTCTATTTACTGCAATGAAATCATTCAAATGGTGATGGTGGCCCATGTGCGGTTCAAATATGTCATAATTTAACATCAGAATTCATCGCTTGGTGTGTGGTATATTGTTGCACTGTCGGTAATCAATGTGAACATGTCTCCATACATATTACGGTATTCGGACAACGCATTCTAACTTGAATTGGATATATTGTTATCGTTGCCGTTAGTTTGAATAGAAAAGAATAACAAGAAAATTCCCCCCAAAAAAGTAAATTGAGAGCTCATTCTAATTTGGTCTGTGTGATTTCTATTAAAACAAAATACAACAAATCTTGAAAAATTCGTTTGTGTGTCGTTTCTTATGACTATGGAAAACAACGCCTCTTGAGTCAATCGAAATGCATCATATTGGGAAGCATGAAAATTATTTTCCTTCGTCGAAAGTACTACTTGAAACCAGCTCGAACGAAGAGCCAAAGAGATAGTGAGATTTGATAAGTTTGTAGTCCGCAACGACTAAAGAAGAATAGCGACAACGACGGTGGTGGTGGCGACGGCGATGCCGACAACGGAACTTGCACATTCATCTCCTCGCCAGTGGAAAAGTATCCGAAGATTGGAAAATCCTATGAACACAATGCCGAGTGGTACCGATAAGTGCGCCGTTCCTCTTGCTCTGCATTGCTCTGTCAAAGCATGTGTCTATGATGTCTATGCGTTGGAAAGTGTGTACATGTGTATGCGTGCGTAGACTAAATTCGCTCGTACGCTATTTCACTCGTATGCGAAAATGCTTGTTCATATCGAAGAAAAATCGAATCCTGTTCCTATTAACCAGTATTTTCTGATCATATTTCGAAAGAAATTCATAACACCAAATCCATAAATCAAGCAAAATATCTTCGATGGATTTGGCAGAGGATTCATTTTCGGAATCGGTGGACTTGGAAAATTGTCGCAGGCACATCACTTCTCCAATCGTTGTCGTTGTCGTTGTCGTTGTCGTTGTCGTCGTCGTCCAATGCACTCTCTCTTTGTGTGGCGGTTCGGTTGGTGTATATCATTTTGTTCATATTTGCACTGCCATCGTCGATCTCATTCGTTTCACTGCTTCGCTTTATCATCGATGTGCACGATGGAAGTGGATGGGATGTGTATGCTGAACGTGTGTTAGTGTACGACTCCAGTATCTATTTGGCAAATGCGCTCTCTCCCTGTGTGTGTGTGTGTGTGTGTGAGTGTGTGTGTCTGTCTGTATGTACCGAAGCGATATAAACAAACGCATGTGTTTGTAGTTGATTTTGCATTGCGTTCCGAGTGAGAATGTCTTCAGCAGGCCGAAATCGTCGAATGCGAAACGAACCGTTGTGTATATACAGGCACGAATGAACGCACGAACGAATGAACGACCGAACGAAAAGAGGAAAACACACAACGGATTCAATTATTTTTGTTGGTTACTAGCACACTCAGAGAGTGAGAGCGCGCGCGAGCCAACGACAGCGACAGAGTAAGACTAGATCCCATTGGAAATTACATCGTCAGTCCTAGATTTATACTCAGTGTGTACAGTTCTCTATCGCACTCGCGTTTTTATCCGTTTAGCCAAGAACAATACACAAACAACTCTCCGCTTCTTTGGTTTCTGTACGGTTCTTCTTTCTTTAGTTTTTTTTTTGTTTTTCAAACACGACAAAAAGAACGTTACGTGCATTTGTATCAACACCCTACCATCCAACGCAAAACTACTGCTATTTCCCATCTTATCTACTTGATCTCTTGCTTCTTGCATCATTTTTGCCTATGGTTTGTGTTTTAAAATTGTTAATCTTGAACAATAACAACAACAAAATCTCCTTAGAAGAATTGTAGTTTTTTAGCATTTGAAAAAAAAATTAAACAAAAAATTTCAAGGCAGTTCATATGATTTCTTATGTCATTTTGGTTGACCAAAGATAAAAAAAAGAATTAAAAATTAAATTTTGATTTTACATTCTTGATCGTTTCGAGAGCCGACAATGTAATGGCGTTTTTTTTTTCAAAACATAGCAACATCAACCGAAAATAACTACCCATTTCGCTTATTTTGTCTGTATATTTTTATGAGTAAATTGACTCAGTCATTAAATCGGCTTCATGGAAATGTAAAATTGTTAACATCAAATATACAACAACAACAACAAAAATCTTCGGTAAATCTATATGGTGTATATTAGTGTTTTCCGGTGATTTATAAAATGTGTGGTGTGTAAATGATGATGGTTTATTAAATTCGGTTGCTGCTACTCATGTTAATTTTGATGATGTTGTTGGAACCAGCCGCTATCGGAAAACAATGGCGAACGACAACATTTTGTGAAAATGCCGTGTGTATCGGTGTTTTGTCGTCTTCGTCGCCATCGCTATCATCATCATCATCATCATCGGTTGATATGTGATGGTAAAGGAAGAAAAGTCGCACTTAAAATTCAATGGTTATCAACATAAACACCTTTGCCATTCCAATTTTACTATTTAAACGTGGTTATGGTCAAAGCGATTGTCCATACCGGAACATTAGGCCATTTACACAGATAAGCAATTGGAATATACTATATTTTTATTTATACCATATTTTTTTTTTATCTCTCAACAAAAGGATCAAAATAATAATCATAATCGCATAAAATTTTGTGTTTAGAAACTGAAGCGATGTGCGGTGAGAGAAAGGAGGGTAGTAGAGGGTATGTGGATCGGTGGTGTAGTTTAGGATCATATCAGCATAAAATCGGAAACAATTGAGCGAGAAATTTACTAGAGATTGTATGAGGGTTGAAAAATGATGATTATTTCTAAATGCGACACACAAACGGGCGAACGAACGACAGAGCGAGAGAGAGCAAGAGAGAGAGAGAGAGACAATTCCACAGTCGCAATCTAAATACTCTCAGTTTGATAACATTAAATGGTTGCACACGTTCACAACACATTCGCATTCAAAATACAGCACATTCCCGCATCCATTTCGGTTATCAGGGGTTTCTTTCTTATTTACATCGGTTGTGAAAACGACATGGAAAATGTCTCCGTTTTTTTTTATTGCCAAAAGAACGTTTATATCTGGTAATAATCTACCTCATTAATAGAATCACGTGTCTTTCACACTTTTTAATTACTCTATGTGTCTCTTGATCTCTGATGCAATCGCATCAACATGTGAAACTTTGTGTACTATATATGTATATGTGTGTGTGTTGTGTCTGCTTGCTGCATACGAAATTAATGACTTTTCTGTTCGAACTGAAAATATGAGCAACCATGAAAAAGCATCGCAAGCGCAATTATTATTGCTTTACTACTTCTGGTGTATGGATGTGTGTGTGTGTGTGTGTGTGTGTGTGGTTTTTGTTTGATTGTCATTGCCATTTATATCTTCTGTCTGATTTATCACCGACATTTCATTTCATAAACTCCACTAGGCAAGGCAAGTCCCATTAGAGTCGAGTCGAATTGAATTGGTATAGAATATCGTTAATATGCTACTATTATTTTGAATTCCCATCAAAATCATCGCGTGGAAATGGTCGGACTATTTTGTGTGTGCGTATTATTGCCAACGCAATAATGTTGAACGCGCAACAATCGCATATCGATGCCAAATGAACCATCTGATAGAGATAAAGTAATTTTTTGTGTTTTACGTTTCGTCGTTAATGTTTTGCGTTGCTGCTGCTGGTGGTGCTTTGCTCTCCTTCTCCCGTCGCTGCTCTATCTAGCTTATATGGCTCGACTATATTGTCAACATTATTTGGTTGGACAAACCCTCACTTTAACTTGAATTACCATTTATATATACAAAATATATACAGCTTGGGATATGGTTTTGGCTCGTTCTCTCTCTCTCTCTCTCTATCTGTGTCTCTCGTAAAATTCGTCTGCGATGATGCGTGTGGAAAACGGAAGATGAAACGATATCATCGTCTCTCTATCTCGTGTTCGATGTTAAAGAGCGCGCGGTCGTTCATTTGCTCGCGAAAAAAAAGAAGAAAAACATCAACAACGGCAACGAGGTTCCATAAGAAATAACATGCTTCCTCTCTATCTATCTATCGCTGTCCCAACGAGTTCATTACTCTTGATGCCTTGTGCATTTTGGCCACATTTTTCGGGTGATGATGATGCGTATGTATGCGTGCGTAAACACATCTCTTTGGCTTTCTGTTGGAATCGAAGAAGGAACATTAACGTGGCTTTATATTATTTACATCATTTCATTTCGATAGATGCGTTAGATTAGATAGTTTCGTTATACGGCATTTCAAAAACGTCGAGAATACTGAATTGGCGTAGCTAGCCAAAAGTGAAACTTTTCCAATCGTTCGTTCGTTTGTTTTTCGCTATTGCAAACATCCTAATATTGAATGAAACAACATTGCTTCGCCAAACAAATTAATTACATAAATGTAGACGACCAGTATTTTCGGCTGTATGGCATGGCATATTCATCCGTTTTCATTTAATAAATCCGGCCCAAACCGTATGCCGCTCTCATATCTTCGTGTATCAAAATAATTATTACTAGACGCACTCCGAATTCAAAGTCTCTCTTTTTCCGTTTTTTTCTTTCTTTCTTCTTCTTTTTTCTATGCCTCTCGTTCTATATCCATCTCTATCTTGCTATCCATATTAAACAAACTACGAAGCGTTTGCCTTTCACAATGAAATTATATAAAAAGCATTTTTGTCGGTCGTCTTCTGCTGATGGTGCTATGGCTGCTATCGCCGTTACTGTTGCTGTTTAGATTTGACGCAAAAGTAATTTTGTGCCGACGAGAATGGAGCGAACAAGCAGACAAACTGGCTGTTTGCTTTGGTTCCCATTTCTTAAATGTATGTCATTGTGCGAGTTCAAAGATAATCCCAATAATCAATTCCAAGTTGTATTGTGGCACATATCATTCCAGTGACTGGCTGAATTTCTCTCTTTTTCTTTTACACATTCAGCCGATAATATCTCCTCGTCCGCGTATTGCCCTTTTTGCTTGCTCCTTTTCGTCGTTCGTCGTGAACATTTCATTTTTTTTTTTGTTTCGCTCTCTTGGATCTTCACTTACATATGTGTGTATGTGTCATGCACGCACTACGACATCATGATTTGTTTAGTTTGAGGCGCATTTTTAACCGTTTATGTTAAGTTTTCCATAGATTTAGTTTCGCTAAAGTCATAAATTCTACGCTTCACCATTTCACATGCGTTCACTCGCTCTCGTTCGTTCGCTCTTTATCTAGTCGAAGATTTTCTTATTTGCGTCATTTTCTCTATCCCCAGGAAAAGTATTAATGTTTCATCCTTTAAGTATATTTTGATAAATTAAGCGCAATAAAAGTTTTGCTCATAGGGCAAAACTGAATCCAGGAGCGAGGCAAAATGAAATAATATCATGTATATATCGCTAACTTGGTATTTATTTTGTGCGCTATTCTGCTTCGGAATTTGGTAAATATGATTTCAGATTTAACTGGTGATCGATGCTTTGCAGATAAAATTGATATGACTTTATTTGATTTTTGGCTATTTCTAACCCAGTAAACGAGCGTTAGAGGAAGAGAAAGAGTGAGAGGGGATATCAATAAACGCTTTACGATTATGCTCAATAATGCTCTCGTTTGCTATCTCTCTCTCTCTCTCTCGCTCTCTCCTTTCACAGTACGTATTGATTTCTGCTTTGAGTAAAAATCATCCAGCAGAAAAATTATTGAGCATAAGTAATGATTTCAATTCCACTAGACTGAATTTTTGCCAGAATGGTTGCGTTGAAGCGTATTGTAAATTTAACGTTCATCCTTCATTTAAATTAGAGGGCAAACTTTTCATCTTATTCATTCGCTCGCTCTGGCTCCTACTCTCTCTCTCTCTCTCTCTCTCTCTCTCTCTCTCTCTCTCTATCTCTCTGTGTGTGTGTGTGTGTGTGTGTCGCTCAGAATTCATTTTTCTAACGTGAAGTTCGCTCAGAGCGAATTGTTCAGCGCGTATTTCACACACACAGTGGGCGAACAAGAGAGCGAGGCTGATAGAAAGGAAGATCGCGTGCGAGATGCGAAACTAAAATAAAACTTGAATTTGATGGGCGAAACGTCTTCTTCTTCTTCTTAGTCGTCGCAACATCATTTTCGCTCTTCTAATGTTTGCTTTAAAAACAGTGAATTGCTTTCGAAAACTTTTATCACCGTCGATGCTCGTCGTCAATAAATGGTTCAACTTTGGGCCACTTTGCTGGCATTTTATTTTCAGCTAATATTCCAGCAGCGAGAGAGAGAGAGAGAGCGTGGGCACATAAGCGCGCTCCTGTTCACGCTTATTGACACGAAATTAGACGCAGTGTTTTTAGCACTACATGAAATGTAGAGCTACTAATCTGCTCTTTATTTTTTCCTAGATACTTTTTGAGTGTTGAAACAAACTATAGTGAATTTGAATTTTATGCTCATATTTTTTATTTAATTTAAACCAAAGGCAGTATATTTCAAAAAAGAAATAAAATCAAGATCTTGTAATTCATTTTGCAAATGAATAGATGAGTAAAAATGAGTAATATATTTATACTTCAAAGATACTTTGATGAAATACATTTCATGTAGTGCGCCAAAAAATAGTTTGTTGTGAAACAACAAAATAGATTAAGTAACTAAAAACGCAGAGCGGATCGAAGCGAAGGTCTTGTTTTCTCCTCTTTTTGTCGTCATCCCGCACTCACACAGCTCAACGCAATAAATTCACATAGTTTATTCGACTTTATTGCAATGTGAAAAGTTTTGTTGATTTGGTG